GATTTGCTTGATCACAGGACCGGATATCTGTGGACCTGGTACCAAAAAAGTACATGTCATTTTCACCTATAAGGGGAAAAACTTGCTGACGAAGAAAGATATTAGATGCAAGGTAATTATAAAGCATTAAGGAGACAAAATTTTTTCATCAGTGAGAATTTTAGTTGGCCTTCATTAGTGATTGATCTGAAATTTCTCCTAAGTGGGAGTATTTTTCTCTTGGACCTAATTGTTTTAATATAACACCAAAATCCCAGAACCCTTCAAAACTTTATTGGACAGTCAGGACAAAGAAGTAGTCACCTTGGGAAAAGTACAGTAACTGAGAAACAAATAGGAACTTGATTGTGCTCAAGTGTCACTGAACTCACTGAAACTTGTGATGTGTATTTATTGGAAAGAAGGCCATCTCTTTTACCTTTGTAAAGACATTTTGAGGTGGGAAACTAGGAGAAAGATAAATGAATAGTGAAGTATCTGTTCAACCCCAGGCAAATCGCACAGTATTAAAGGATGGTATGAGTGATAAATGCAAGGTTTTGTTTAGGGTCTTGGGTTGATCTTAACTTCCTCAACATTTGCCTACAGAATGTATTGAATATCATAATAGATAGCTCGAGGACAATTAAATTCACCAAAAACCACTTATCGAAGTCAGCAGTTTGTAGTGAGAAGAATGTCGCCCTAACCAAATTTTTCTCTCAGGATGATGAATTCACCCATCTTTACACACTGATTGTGAAGTCTGATAACACCTACGAGGTTCGCATTGATGGAGAAAAGGTTGAAAGTGGGGAGCTTGAAGCTGACTGGGATTTTCTGCCACCAAAGAAGATCAAGGATCCTGAGGCCAAGAAACCAGAGGATTGGGATGATAAAAAGAAAATTGATGATCCAGAGGATAAAAAACCGGAGGTAGATTTGAAAATGTCAAGTGTTAGGTATAACTGAGTTGAGGTCAATCTCTTATGTGAATTAATCTGATAACCCTGCCAACTGGAGAAATCTTGTTACTGCTTTGTAGCTGACTTGCAAGGGTATGTGAAAAGAATTCCTAGAACCTTGATATCATTTGCATAATGAAAGAAGTTTTGTTGTCAGTGTAATTCAATGTGAGAATTCTCTTTGACAGGATTGGGATAAGCCTCAGCACATTCCTGACCCTGATGCCAAGAAGCCCGATGACTGGGATGATGAGATTGATGGTGAATGGGAACCTCCAATGATTGACAACCCAGACTACAAGGTTGGTGGATGACCCTGTAAGCAAAAATTAAACTCCAATAGGCCAACTGTCTGGATCATTGTATGTGCTAGTTTTTGAGATGTCGCGTTTTAACTTGAACTTTGCTTTGATTATTCTGCATTTTTTTCTTATAGGGAGAATGGAAACCCAAACAGATTGACAATCCTAACTACAAGGGAGAATGGGTCCACCCAGAAATTGACAATCCTGAATACCAACCTGATGACCAACTTTATAAGTATGATGACATTGGTGCCATCGGTTTTGATCTGTGGCAGGTAGGCTATGATATTATTGTGTTCACTTCTCAAGACCCTACAAAGAGTGTGATCTAACAAACCTTTTTTTACTCCTTTTCTCTTTTTTTTTTTTTTTCAGGTGAAATCTGGAACCATTTTTGATAATATCCTTGTAACAGATTCTGTGGAATATGCAGAACAATTTGCAAAGGAAACGTTTGAGAAAACCAAGGAAGGTGAAAAGAAAATGAAGGATGAGCAGGATGAAAAGGAACGCAAAGAGAGAGAGGAAGAAGAAAAGAAGAGGAAAGAAGAGGAGGACAAGAAGAAGGCAGAGGAAGAAGATGAGGAAGAAGAGGAAGAGGAAGAGGTGGGTCGTTTGGACAAGATAAGAAGGGAAAAAATTCTTTGGACAAAATTGTGATTTTTATTACAAAACTTTAATTTCATTTCAATATGCAGCACCAATGACTAGACTCAAATAGCTCAAATGTATCTTTGGGTAAAAAATACTGTAGTTAGAATTATAACTTGCACCAGTAAATGGCCATGGTATGTTGATGAAAATTGGTAACTTAAACTATTTGCTTTCTTCATTGTTGCAGGAAGAAGAAGGCAAAGAATCTGAGGAGGAAGCAAAAGAAGAAGATGCAGCTGAGGAGGGTAAAGAAGGAGCAGAAAGTGAAGAAAGTGCAACAGAGGATGAAGAGGAGGAAACAAAAACCAAGGACGAACTTTAATTGAATCTGATGCATCTAGGCATTTTTATTGACTTAAAAGAACTCTATGAAGCACACTTAACTAAATGGTGTGTGACTTGGTTTTAGGTGGTGTATCAAATTGCTTCGTGTGTTGAAGTTAGCAGAAAAAATAGGCCTCTTCCATTGTCTATACTTTTATAATTTCTTTTTAAAGGAAAACATGGAAATACTGAAATGCAACTTGGTAATCTTCTTTTGCTCTTTGTATGCATCCATCAATTATTATCTTTTTCAAGCATGGAAAGGCCCATCCCCTGTGGTTACTCTTGCTTTAGTTACCAAACTAATTTAATTTCATGTTTAATAATAAAAAAAAAGATAAGAAACAACTTTGTAACATATTTTATGGTTTGCTTTCCTCCCCTGTTATGTTGTGGCATTTGTGCTTCCTTGCATGGAAAGCCCAGATGAAAAGGGGAACTGAGAATTTGTGCAATGACTGGAGAAGTAAGAGCATTAAGAGTGTATTATGAATGGAATAAACTATTTAGATGATTATCTCTCAAAATAGTAACATGAAGAACCCAAAAATGAATGATGAATCTGTGAAGATTCATAGTCGAGACAAATCATTACCAAATTAAATTGTATGTTGAAGTTAAGGTTTAGATACTCCCTGCAGAGTAGAGAACAATATGAATGACTGCATGCAGATATGCAGAGCTAAATCAAGCATGCAACCTTATTGTTGTCCTTTATTCTTATCACCATTTATGGTAAGTTCAATTAAAGAGATTTCGCGTATAATCGTTTTCATGCGAATGTAAATTAGTGCACCTAAATTAAGGTCACTTCCCACCAGTAGATGCTGACTAAATTGGAGTCACATTTTAACTTTACGAAAAAACAAAAATCCCTTATTGCGTGCGAGTTATTTAGAAGAACGTATTTTCAAATTTCAATAAATCTGGAAGGTGTGACAATCTCGTACCTGGGTGAGTCCCCTGGGGGTATTCTCGTGGCAAGGACTCTTTTTCATGTTTTCTGCATACTTGATGAAAGCGACTGATACTTTGCTCCACGCTGGCGTTCAGATGTCGTATAAAGAAGTCTCCGTCAAAACAAAATTTTTCGTTTATTAAGTTAAAAACGAGGTTACCAGCCTTGATACAAAAACATTCACAAGCGCCTCGAATCCAGTTTTTCCATTTTTGCTGCGGGTTTTTCCGTTGCCTTTGACAACTTTGCCCATTTTTGTGTCGTTCTCCTCAACGCGCCACCGAGCGATTGGGATAAAAAAAGAAAAAAACGCGTCTGCAATGCGTTACTTTCCCGGGAAATCTTGATTCGTCGTCATTGCGCTTCACGCCTTATCGGGTCCTGACGCTTTTTATTGGGAAAACTCGCTGAAATTATATTATTATCGAAAACTTCATAGTTTGCTAGGATTTTAGTGATGCTGACGCGCGTACGTATTTCTTCCGAAGGACATCCACGTAGGTGGGAGGTAATAGCGCTAAACTGGTAGATTCTATGCAGTAGCTAATGTTTTATCGGTGGAACATCAAACCAACAAAATTCCAGATCACATTGTAGACCATCAACGAATCCTTTTTCCTTGACACGTGTTTCGGTTTCAGGCGAAGGTTCATACAGGTCACTGGTCTTTTATGGGCTCAGCGCTGACTCCCAAACAACTGGCTTCCCCATAATCTTTCAATAGCTGAGAAAAATAGGTGTTTTTAGAGAACCTATAAATTTATAATTATTTATTATTCTTGAGGATTCTAACTTTTGAAGAGCTCAACTTCTTCTCGGTTGTTTCTCATTTCGGTCTGCCACTTCCGGATCCTCGCTGTCTGCCTACTCCATGGGTCACTATTTTACTTCAGAAGAAGTTGTTTCTAGTAGGGCCTGAATCGTCGGTACAGCGCCAGGAAGAAGTACTTTTTTGGTTTTTAAGGCCCATTTCAACCATGTAGCTTTTCCCGTAACAATCGGGAGAAAATTGACTGGTATAAGCAACAGAATGTTCGGAAGGCTCGACGACATCGGCTCTTCTCAATTGAACAAATTTGCACCTTTCGGAAATTTATGCCCGATTTTGTTTGAATTGGTACAAAACTGAGCGACAATGCTTTACCATCATGAAAAAATTGAATATATTCAAACAGATTGTAAGCACAAAAATCGTGACGAGACCGGCAAAGAACGGCTTCGAAAAAGACTTGCACGTATTTCAAGTACGTATTTCAAGTATTACACGTAGTACCATACTAACTATGTAAAAATTTTTGACCGCCAGTACCGCAAAGTGCCACAAACAGCTTTGTGAATAGAAAATGAACGTTTTTGGGGCTTACACATAGTACCATACTAACTATGGCTTAAATGCCCTTTAAACTGTGTTCTCAGGAAAGGCATCTACATGGGCAGTAGCTGCTCAACCATTCCCAAATTATCATGCGTACATTGGTAATATAACCCTGGCTGGAGGGAACCAAAGTAAGGTTTGGTAAAAATGGGACCAACAAGATGGCAAGACGTAACTTGACTCAAACATGATCAATTTAAGAGAGATTGTCTTCTAGAAAGAACCTTTCTGTTACAACTGGACCCTTTGAAAAGTCAACATCTAAGGCCTGATACTAAATCATCAAATTTACTTTCAACAAGATTTTCCAAGTTTTAAAGAATGTCTAAAGGAAGTGAAACTCTATTAACTGCTTTTCAGCCCATTGATACTGATAAAAGATTTGTGCATGAGCAAAATTAACAAAATGTTCACAAGATGTTGTATTCTACCTTGTACCTTACCTTTCATGGTAGAATAGAGGGGCCTCTGAATTTGTGTAAGCCAGTTGAAAATGAGTCATGGTTTCTGGACAGAAAAACAATTTTAAGAATGTTTGTTAGCAAGGCTGGCCACAGCCTCAACAAATTTGTAGTAGTTGTACTTGATATCATATTCCATATCATACCAAAAATTGACTGCAATGCACCCATGAGATTGTTGAACATGATGAAACCATAAGGAAGGTAGATACAACATCTCCCCTGCAGTCACTACACATGTGACAGGGTTAGCTTTTGCATAGTTTGGATATTTATTCAGATCTGGATTCAATGGATCAATAGCAATCCAGGGCACTTTTTGTTTTAGTGCTGCTTCTGTAAAGTTCTCAACAATTTCGTCCACAATTTCAAAATCACCATTATTGCTAGCTTTATATCTGGCTGGGGAGTATAATTCATAAGGAATCAAAGGCAAGTCACTTGGTGGTAACAATGTGAAAACTTTAGAACCAGAAATCACGCAATATAAATTTTCATAATGATCTTTGTGCATCGAGGTGACAGCTCTTTTGTCTCCCATCCAAAAGTTGACTGCATCAGGGTTTTTATCAAATGCCTCTGTTGCCCAAGGTATATCACATGCAGCTTCTTCGCATAATTCTTTAAAATCGCTCGTTAAGTTAGAATTTTGCTTCTGAACGTAAAATATCCCTTGTTCTTTAGATTTTCCTTCAAGAATGTCTAGAAACTTGGAGAATTCCATCTCCCGTTCTTCCGGCATGACGAACTTATCTCCCACTACGGCATCCGCGTATCCATTAGGTGTGACCGCAACAGTTACGGTCCTGTGTCCAATTTTCTGTCTCAAATAATCGCTATTCCATTTTTCAAGCGCTGGCCAATGATTGAACGCGTTTTTTATGATAACTGGAACATTTGGGCTCACCCAGTCCCTCAAAAATTCCAAGGGAGTCGGAGGTTTTCCAAGCCTTGGCACCTCTAAATTAAGATAAAGTTCTTTCGCTTCGACTGATAAGTTTTCTAGCGCTTCTGATAACCTATTTACCGAGGCCATTTTGTCGGAAAGGCCAAAGCATAATTTTTAGACGTTGTCCGCCATAATGAACGTAAAGCTTGGTTACCAAGTTGATAAGTTCCCAGGAATCCTCAGCCTAATTTTATTCTACATTCCTTCCCTTCGTTGAGATTTATTGCGTCTCTTGCTGGAGTAATTATGCTTCTAATTCTTTCTGAGCAGCAAAAAGAACATTTGAAGTTCTTGACATCTTTGGAACTCGATATAGTCCTTGAGTTTGCCCGAATATCCCTGGATTCTATTCTCAAAGGCTCTTCGAATCCCAAAATCTTCCAAGCGGCTGCTCAAAAGCTCGGCGTTGAGGTGGACACGGTGAAAAATGGAATTAGTGGTTTGCAAAATGTCTTCACAGAGAGTTCTCGCTTGATGGTTGGTCAAATTGACTTTCAGGATTCCATTATGACACTTGGTTTCTCCGAAGAAATGATCGGTGCTTTGTTGAAGATGTATTTGGAAAATCGCAAAGAAATTAGGAACATCTTGGGAGAGATGAGCTTGCGAACCGCACATTACCACGATCTGGAATGGAGATTTGATGTAGAGCTTGCCAGCAGGTCACTGCAGCATCAGACAAACCCTGTGATCATTATGAGGTTACATACAAAACGGGGAGAGAAGAAGTCCGCAGACATACTTCAAACTGATCCAGTGAACTTGATTCATCTTACTTCAGAGTTGGAAAACGCAATGCAGGAAATGAAAACTGCTCACTGCCGAAGAATTGTTCGAAATATAAAATGAACTACTGAAATGAATTGATAGCCAGCCCAAAAGACCCATGCTTTTATTCTCGTACTCAATTCCAGGGAATGCCTCCCTTCAAGGGTTGGGATGTGTGGGAAGAGGGGAAGGCTGTTTCTAAATACACCTGCACAAGTATGCTCACCCCTAACTGCCTTCAGAAAACTAAGCAGTGTCCACAAATTTCTCTGTGGGCTAGTGGTAACCACTTGGGATTAACTCCAAATGATATCCTTGAAAATTTGTTATTCTTTTAACCTGTTTACTTAGCAGTGAATTAAAATTTGAATGAAGATTTAGCCAATAATCACTCTTGAGAATCAAAGGGATGTAACCCACTGTACCTCCATTTTCTATAACTGGCTTGGGTTATTTTCTTTTTTAAGGGTTACCTTTGTGATCAAAAGTGGCCTTTGTTGGATAGGGATGTGGATCTAAGGGTACCACCCACCCCACCTAAAGGAGGGGGCATTGGGGTCTAATCTAATCTAAATGTCTAATTTGCAAAGGGTGATACAGCCCATCCATCCAGGGAAGGATATCCACCACACTGATCTTGTGCATGGGAAATGAACCATCTCCTACCCCTAACCCTGCAGGGGATGGGACCTATGGTTTCTTTGTCCTTATCCAAGAAGACTAGAATCATCAGAAACCGCAAAAAATTCGATCAAGACTGAAAACTGCTTGCAAAACCTTCTAAACCAACAAATTTGAACATCTCAGTTGTCAAAATCCTAATTGATCTGATACTATGGTTACAAGAGGAGCAACATAGGTTTCGCAGCTATTCAAGATCAGTAGAGGCACATGACTGCTGCTCAGATTAAAGAGAAACTGGAACCCCAATATGAAAAAGCGAAAAAGCACATCAGTTACCAAATCCGAGTACCTGTCAAAATTTAGACGAAAACCGAAAACCAAATGCTGAAAAGAGAAAATCTGCAAAACGCAATGACCAGCAAAACCGAAAAACTGAAGGTTATTTTTGGCACAAAAACCGCAAAAACCAGTCTAAAAAATGGCCAAAACCACAAAATTACAAACCTCAATGCCCCCCTCCTCTAGTAAAACCAACTAGAAGACACAAGTTTGACAGATCCATTCTACATAGCTTTCAACATTTTTTTTCCTCTTTGAACTCCCTGAAATGACAAATGTTTTCTCTCTATGAACTTATTGTGTAGCAGATTAGGGTTTTATATTTAATGCTTCTTTAGATTGATGTTAGCAGTTGACTGCTTTGCTAGGCCAGCTGAGAGAATCATGGTATGCCTGGCATTTTTAACTCTTAGGTTATTTCAGGCAGCCAGCGCCCCTATTATTGTCTGTACTATTATTATAAATTTTTCTTTCTTGTATATTTTGGGGTGAARAAATAAAGTTGTTGTCGTTGTTGGTAAAATAGTATCCACTGAATATTGTGCAAGATAATGGTAGGGCTTATCATGATTGTAAAAATGGAAAGGAAATATGAGCCAAAAAAGCAGTTAAATATACCAAAGCCCTCTATTGTTTTTAAGGTATTAAAAGGTATCTCAATTTGTTAATTCTCAGTCTTTTACCCTTTCAATTTATTTGATGAACTACATACAGAAGTTCCATTTTTAACTACTAACTTGGATCACATTGTATTCAGTGAGATCATGGTTCAAAACACTGCACAATCCAGAAAGTTATGGTATCTGTTTTTAAGTTTTCATTATGTTACTATTGTCCTCTACTCAGATGTCATCACCAACAAATAAACAATTTTTGGACATGGTTCAGCAAAATATAGTGACTTCTTAATGGCAGACATACTATTTACAAAAGAGGAAAACTTAGACGTATAACAGATGAGTGTGATACGGACAAATCACAATATTTCAAAATGATCCTGTTCAATAGTTTATGGAGTTTGTTTTCATAATTATTTTGAGGGTTGCCAAATCTGAAGGTATATGGAGGTGATCTGCTATTTTCCACAGATGTTCATAAGCAGAATATTCTTTGGAGCAAAACATAGTTTGCACATGGGCAACATCAATTTGTGGGCAGTTATTTGCAGGTCAAATGGTGGGTCCTTGGCCACTGAACCAGAAAATATGCACATCTTGATAATCCACTTTGCTGCTCACCTGTTTTGATGTTGTGGCAGCAAACACAATCACACAAACTGTTAACAGTCTAAAGTTTCAGTATAACTCAGTTTTTCTTGAATCAGTTACAACTGATAGATAACAATAAAAATAAGTTTAAATAATCAATCAGCTTTTTTCCAAACAGCCGCCTTCTTATGAATAGAACCTACCTGTAAGATTAGTTTTTTACAATAACCCTAACTTACTCTGAGAACGAGAAACAGTCATTCTCCTGCCTCATAATCTCGCACATTGACATGATGTTAATTCAGGTTCTCTCAAAAATACTCTGGAAAATAATCATCCATGGATCTATTTACAAAGGTCATAAAAGACCGGCCAGCCACTCCTTAGTTACACCTTGATATTACTCAAAATTTCTCAGGTTGCAACCAAATTCTGACAAACGACTCTACTTCTTAAAAAAAACCCTCTATCAAGTGGACTCCCCAGTATAGACAAAGTACAGTAAATCTTGGCTGTAATCCTTTCCCTCCCATGATGTTGTTAGTGATTCTCCTTACTGTCTGCCATATAATTCTTATATGGCAAGTTTGGAGAATTTGGTATTAGATCAACTAATAATCCCTTAATTGATATTTTTCTTTATTCTCATGGCTTGTTTACCTGATTTTGTAATGAGAAAATCTATCTTGGTCACTCATGGGAATTAAAGGGTCAAAGTGATCAGGTGACAGAAGCTGATGTATGTGATACAATCTCCTGTTCCCAGTCACACAAACATTGGTGTTTTTTTTACTGAAGCTAAGCCTTACAAAAGAAAATCAGATTCGTTTGGAGAACTCTACGTTCTCATATTGATAGGGACATGGTCCAGACTATCCTAAACATTCTGAATTATCCCCATCACTTTTCATATAAGTTTTTTTTAAGAGAGTCAAGGATTGCTACTTGAGTGTGCTACCATACCACTATTCAACTGTGGAATCCCTGTTGCATAATATCTTAGTTCTGCTGCTTAGTCAAGACTTCTTGCTATTGTTCTCACTGGAAGTAGAATTTCAGTTTAAAATGCAGACGTTCTCCTCCACTGTTTTTGAAAATATCACTTAAAATGCTCTTTAAGTGTCCAAAAGTAGATTTTTCAGAGAGAAAAATGTTCTCTCCCCTTAGTTTTTTTTTTTGGCCTCTCAAAAGAGGCCTTCATGACCAGTTCGAAAGTTCCGCGGTCACCATTTTGATTGGTGCGCAAGGCTCTCTGGGGTGATGACGTAAAATGGTTGCTCGATTCCCTTGCCCTTGGTAAAATTGGTAGCAAAATGCCGCATTGCGTTGCTTTTGAGTGTAGTATTCAAGCTAAAAACAGGAAAGGGGTAAGTCTTTTCAAAGCAATGCTGTTCGAAGTGCTTCGAACACAGACGCAAGTCTTTGGGCAAGGATGTCCTTCCAACAGCATGAATCCAAGCTCGTTGAATCGCTGCATCATTCGGAAAATTGTGGAAATGAATTTCGGGATCGTTTTTCCTGTTTTTAGCTTGAATACTACACTCAAAAGCAACGCAATGCAGCATTTTGCTACCAATTTTACCGAGGGCAAGGGAATCGAGCAACCATTTTACATCATCACCCCAGAGAGCCTTGCACGCCGATCAAAATGGCGACCGCGGGACATTCGAACTGGTCACGAAGGCCTCTTTTGAGAGGCCAAAACATAAAATCTAAGGGGATAGAACATTTTTCTGTCCAAAAAATCTACTTTCGGACAGTTAAAGAGAATTTTAAGGGATACTTTCAAAAACAGTGGAGGATCCTTTAAAATAAGTTCAATTAGGCAAATTTGTTTTCCATGCTACTTTTTACATAGTGTAAGAGAAACATATATTTTTGGGTTTACATGCCCTTAAAGATCAAGACAGGTGGAAACTTGAGTATTACAGAAGAATGTTGAAGACTTTTGGGGGCTTACACGACTACAATTTACAAATCGTTTATTTTACTCCTCCCACCACTCTTCCCTCTGCCTCTCTGTACCTGATGACAGTCTTGACAGCTGTTCTCCACTTGCTCCTATCTGTGGCCAGTGCTTCCCAATTAGCTGGGTTGATTACCCCTGTCTTCAGAGTGAGGTGTTATTGTTTCCTGTTTGTTGATGAACCATTTCCAATATTCAGATACAATGAAATATATGAAGTTCATATATTTGCGGTATTAGATACATATGATACATGATCCTCGCAGTAGATAGCGCTATTTAAGCAATAGCGAAAAACAGACCTGACCGCTGCACTAGTATCGCAGAGGTCAGTGGTTCGAATCCCGTACAGGCCTGATTTTTTTCAGGTCTGTTTTTCGCTATTGCTTAAATAGCGCTATCTACTGCAAGGATCATGTATCATATGCATTTCCAATATTATTCTAAATATATGTTTGACCTTTTGACTAAAGAGTGAAAAGTCAGTGCTGTCTCATCAGTTACACAATCTTTCGCATCATATTGCTTACTCACTTTCCTCACCAGATCTATTGTCCATTTCCATGCTGATATCATTGTCTTCTTTCATGTCTGTGTTGACCTCAATTGTTAGCTGTTCAAGAGTTTCACCCAGCATGTGAACACTAAAAGTATCCTCTCGTTGAATTCCAAGTGCCTTATGGAAATAGCCTATTGCTTCATGGTGATTTCCTAAGAGACTACTGACAAAGCCAAGGGCAGAGAAAGTGGAAGCCTTGTTTGGAACAAGAACAAGTGCTTGCTTGTGGTATCGTAATGCTTCTTGGTATCTCCCTAGCTTGCGGCAAGCGTGGCCAAGGTTACTAAGCAGAGTTTCCCAAGTTTCTGAGAGAACTTCCCCGCTAGTGATCTGCGCTTTCTGGAGAGCTGCCTTGAAGTTCTTTTCTGCTGAAAGATAATCTCCATTTTGAAAGGCAATCACACCCATTTCCTGCTTCACAAAAGGATCATCTGGTGAAAGAATTAAAGCCTGTTCAAAAAACCTTTCAGCCAGTTTTGCATTATTGGTTTTTCCATACTCCAGGCCAATATAGAGAAGAGGCAGATGGCATCTTGGCATCAGCTTAGATGCTGTGAAGTAAGCTGCCATTGCTTGATCATGCTCTCCTTCTGCAGCAAAAGCATGCCCAAATGCAAGCCATGCTGGTCCATAAACTCGTTCCAGACTGGTAGCTTTGCTAAAGTACCTCCTAGCCTGCTCATACTTTTCAATAACATAGTAATAGCAGCCAACTGCATACCAAGCGACTGCCTTATGGGGATAGTTATCAACCAGCTTATGTCCAAGGTAAAACAATTCATTCATTTTCTTCAGTTCTACCAGGCAGGTGATATGAATGGGCAAGCAAGCTTCATGATAAGGATCAGACATCAGGACAGCAGATGTCATCTTGTATGACTGATGGTAACTGCAGTTGTAAAAGTGCCGCTCAGCCATTCCAGCGACTACATCCAGGTTGTCATACAAGCTTTCCAAACCAGGAGGTAGCTTCGGGTCAACTGGTTTGCAGTACCTTTTCATCTTTCCTTCGTACAAGAATTTCAACAAATCAACCTCTTCAGGCATGCATTGCTCCGAGAAAGGCAGAGAAGAAAGCAATTCTCGTTCTTCTTTATCGGTCAGCATGTGATGAGAAACAAGTAGATCAAACGCTTCAAAACAGCGCACGTCATTTTTGAGGGCATCTTTGAAACAATCTGTGGCTAAAGCTCGGTTATCCATAGCCTCATACACGACTCCTTTCAACAAACAAACTGCACTTTCGAGCTTTTTCGTTCCGCCGACAAAGCAAATCTCCGCTAGATCCTTTTCTGTCGGCTCCTTTTGCTCCATGTCCAGAACTTCTAGAGCTTCCTGCCATTGTTTACATTCTGCATGGCACTTGGCGGCCAGATAGCGGCATGCTAGGCTCGTCTGAAGAACGCCTCCACGGCTTCTAAGCACGTGTGAAGCTCGATGGAATTGAGCAGTTAGAAATAAAGTCTGGGCAAGCCAGTATACATCTTGGATGTCTCCATTAGACAGGGATACAGCTTTATCTGCCCAAAACAAAGCCGTTTTGTACAAATGCATGTCTATATATTGACGAACAAGGTTTCGAAGTTGAGAGATATCAACCTTCCCGCCAGTCGCCATCTTGGATTTTTGGGGAATACCGCTTAAATGTTGTGAATTTACCTTGGCGCAAATTTCTTTTGTGGGGGTGGGGAGAGGGGAGTCAAAAAATATTGATTCACTAATTTGGTTATCTTTTAGTCCTTTGATTTTGGATTCCCTCTTAATCAAATTAAGATACCTTATGTATGGTGCTGCATTTTCGATATTTCAATTCAACTCTCAATCTTTGATTCGTTATTGATTCGTTCCTTTTAGATTTTGTCACCTCTCCCCACAGGACAATTTGACTAAACTGCGACTGCGGAGAAAATGGCCGCGAATTGAAGTGGAATGTAATTGTTAGGCAGTTTTCCCCTTAATTTCTTCGCGGCCGTGTCCTTATGAGGATTTTGTTCACCATATGTTACGAGATATCGGCTAGTTTCTGCTGAGCTGTGGTTGTTACAACTCGAGGCTTTCCAATCATGTCTTCCGGTGAGAAACTTCCTAAAGGCAAGGGCAAGAAAGCTGCCCCGAAAGCTAGTTCCACTAAAGGTACGACATGTTTTGTTTCTGTCATGAAATTTGGTTTTAGATAACGAACTTGGAGCCAATAGGTAAATGAATTTTTCTTTAATAGCGTTGTTGAGAGACATCTAAATTTCACCCGGATGATATGTAGAATTATTGTTCTTAACCATGTATGACATTCCAGTCAGTTTTACGCCCCTACGCTCAAATTGCGCGACCCGTGTCCATAACAAACATTGACAAACATCTGTTTTGATGAAGAGTGAAATAGTTCTGTTTTTTTTTTATACGATACCATTCATTTCATTGCCTTCCTTTTTTTCTTTTTCGTAATAACAAGGTAAAGAACCTCAGCTGAACGACCGTCGATTCCGAGGAGAAGGCGTAAAATTCAAGTGCAAAGTAAGTTCTTCAATGTCTCCTCCTACACGATTTAAACAAGGAACTCAAAACTGTGAATCGCTAACGCATCAGTTAGATTTTGGTTATAACCATACTTGAATTCTTGTGTTATATTATTTAACGTATAGTAACGTTAAACAGATCTTCGGTAAAACATGATATAAATTATAAGAATTTGTAAACTGTTGTAGGCTGAGGGGTGATGTACATTTAAAGACGTGCAATTGCTTAGTAACGGTTGTCTCTATTTCTTGCAGCTTGTAGGCACAGCAGATGTGAACAACGCAAGAGGTGATGCAATGTGTGCAGAGGTCATCAACAATTTAAAGGTTGGTAGTTGTTTGAATTAATATTGTAGCATACAATTTTAGTTACATCACGTAAATATCGATTTTGATTGGTTCTGTGCGGGCTTATTTGGGTGTTACGAAAACTAAGACCCTCAAAAAAGAAGACCTAAGACCCGTCTTAGTTTTCGAGATTACAAAAACTAAGACCTCCTAAAATCGAATCCGTCGAAATATAAAGTCAAATTGTAACCAAAACAGGTCTAATCTGTCAAATTATCTCCTGTCCGATCCTTTCCTCCGAGTTTTAGGTCAAATTTAACAGTAAATTTAGGGGTCTTAGTTTTCATAATCTTGAAAACTAAGACCCCTCTTAGTTTTCGTAATTGGGAAAACTAAGACACCCCCAAAACCATTCTATAAAATGACTACAAAGTCAAACTATGACTGTGGACATTATATTAAGAACCCACAGAAAGCTCATATTCAGTCAATCGAGCAATAACACTGGTATACTTGCAATAAGTGGTTTGCACATTATGTCATTGCTGCCATGTTGGTGGGGGCAACCCTAAAACCAGGAAACCGGAAACCGGAATCCGGAATCCAAAAATAAAGCAAAAACAAAGTTTTTCAAATACACAAAAGTTAAGTTGCAAATTTTTCTCCTGGAAATATAAAAAGGTCAATAAAAAATGGCATCAAAGCACAGCTCTTTTGATAAAAAGGACTCCCGGCATTTCAGTTCAATAGACAACCGTTAATCCTTGTGAGGGCTATGGATATGTTGTAGTTCAATTTTATCCTTGGTTCAAATTTTATTTTCCTTTGTTCTTGGTCATGTTAATGTTTGGTAATGAGTTTGAAACAAAGGAAAATAAAATTTGAATCAAGGATAAAATTGAACTACAACAGATATACCAACCATACCAATGCATCATAATTTGATTCTAAGTACTCGAAAAGCGACTAAAGTGCGATTGCTTGTAACTGCCTTGTTGTTAAGTGATCTGCATGCAATTTTCCAGAGTTATAACTTGGCCTTCATGCCCAGTAGATACACAACAAGTCAGCAAATGTCATAGAGAAGAGGCATTTCTATTAATAACTGGTTAAGGGGGTAACAAGTCATCATTTTGCTTTCCACCCTGTCCTGCCCAAGTAATCTAAATCCTTGGTACAAGTGGTGGCGAGAAATGGTCTGTTTATGTTCATGTGGGCCTGGAATCTGTTTTTAAACAAAGATGGAGGATCAAAGCTTGAACAGTGTCATGAAAAAGAAAACCTTTAATTGCAAATGTTTGAAGAATAACTTGTCTTGGGTTGTGCTCACTGGTAAGTCTCATTACATACTTAAGGTTTCGTAAAACAGTTCAACCACTCGACCAGCATCCTTAGCTATAAGCTGAAATATTACGAACTAAACTTGACCAAGTATTTTCTCGAATTGTCCGTCCACCAGATTACAACTTAAATCAGTATATCTTTACAAAACCGGTGTCCGGATTCTGGTTTCCGGCTTCTGGTTTCCAGATTCTGGATTCCAGATTCTGATTTCCGGTTTCCATTTTGCTGGTTTTATGGTTGCCCTGTTGGTGGACGTAAACAATAGATATCTCATCAACTTCTTTTGTTGGGAAAGCGCTAACATCGATTTTATCTGTTTCTGAACAAAGGAGTTAATCTCCGACACTGGAAATCGCGACCAGTATTCCTTGTGACTCCCCAAGTTTGTTTTCCAATTTGTCCTAGCCGCTGCTGATCACTTCTTGTGTAAAAACTTACGAAACCTGTGAAGTGGAACTAGGGTGGCTACTGTTGCTTGCCGATATTATTCATCGGCAAAATGTAGTAAGTCAGTAAAAGTGGCCAATTCTGCCAGGGAAATTTTATTGTCTGGAGCTTGGACTTGTCAGGAGAGTTTCCTTGACAGCTGGATTACACCCCATGTTGTGAAACCATTTGTGAAGACATCACGTTTTTTCTTTGCTTCTTTTGTCACATTTCTTCACTTTGTTATGTTTTTTCTTTGCTTTTTTTGTCACATTTCTTCGCTTCATGATGTTACAGTAGCACGGGAAATCTAACCGAATTTATTATCGAATATGAGCTGTGGGTTCTTAAGTTAATGTCCATGTGCAATCCGCCAAAACCTAGCACGTGTGCAGAAGTTATTCAGCACCGTCACAGGTAACGCAATCTCGATCGCAGAGACACGTAGAATAACATCCATCTTCAATGGAAAGCCAATGTTATGATTTAAAGGATAGACAACAAAATTAAAGATCAATTGGGGTAAGGCATATTTTCAGTGTACAATTATACGTAGGTAGTGTATTGCTTTCATCGTCTCTATAAAGCCACAATGCTGAAAATATGTCTGCAAATTGTTAGAAGAAGTGGATCGTCTAGCACGCGTACAATTATAGTTTTTGGTTGTTTTACGGATTATAGTCTTTGAACGGTCATAATTCAACTTTGTAGACATTTTACAGACTGGTTTGGTGGGGGTCTTAGTTTTCGTAATTACAAAAACTAAGAGGGGTCTTAGTTTTCGAGATTATGAAAACTAAGACCCCTAAATTTACCATTAAATTTGACGTAAAACTCGGTGGAAAGGACCGGACAGGAGATAATTTGACAGATTAGACCTGTTTTGGTGACAATTTGACTTTATATTTCGAAGGATTCGATTTTAGGGGGTCTTAGTTTTTGTAATCTCGAAAACTAAGACGGGTCTTAGGTCTTTGGTCTTCGTTTTTGAGGGTCTTAGTTTTCGTAACACCCAGGCTTATTTTGTGATTCAACTGTTTCTTTATTCCATTCATTTACTTAGTGTTTAGTATTTATCTAATATGATCATTACTTCTTTGTGTTTTCACATATTCACAGTTTCTGTTGTTGAGAAAAGATGTATTATGTCTACTCATCCCAATCTTGTGACTCTCAGAAATTGTTAGACGATAATGAGTAATGGTAATAGAGCCTAAGGAGTCCAATTTGGTTTGTAATCATATAAGTGATTAAAAGAATTGAATGGCAGCAAAACTGGATTCTGATATCTCAGTCACAAATAATTATGATTACTGAGCAAATTAGACAACATGAATTCCTAGTGTCAATAACTATTGCAGTTACTGAGAAAAAAATGTATCTTTGAAAGAGAGGCTTGTCATTGCAATCTTAAATACTTAACTATTACAATCTTGTGATGAAAGTGCAATGGAAGCTCTATGTTTTGTCTAATGAACTAATTTCTTCCACTCTGGGGAAATCCCCAGTTTTGGATGGTAAGTGGTGCTATGGTGACTATCATCAAGTTTGTGATTGGTGGATTCATGTGAGTACATGTATACTCAGTGTGATTGGCTGATGTAGCTGTTGGATTACAACTTTACAGATGAATGTGTAAAAAAAAATCAGTTCATCCACCAATTACATTTGACAAGACTAATGGTTATAATTATAACCAAAGACTTCAGATATTTTTTAGCCATTTGCCATCTGAATTATAATTTCCACTCACCAGAACAATTTTCATGGCAAGTTAAAAATAAGCCAGAGCTAAGTTGGGTAAAGCAGTTTGTCGAAAATGCAGATTCAACTGCCATGGTAATACATGGTTTTTATCCATGGTTAACCTAGTAATTTATTTTTGTTCACTCAATTTGAGTTCTGTCAAGCTAGTTTGTTATATGTTACCATAATTTTGTTGTGATTGGTTGGTGTGATTAGTTTGGGTTTGGTTGGTGTCACTCAGTTCAGGAGGGGTTCAGCTGTCCAAACTTTGATGGTGATTATAATGCCAGTGCATTTGTATTGTCTAGAGAATAGTTTGTTTTTTGGTCAGATGTGACTATAATTTGTGTGTTATTTTCATGCAAGTAGTTTATTTCCTACAGTTTCTGTCTTTATAAAAATGCTATCAGATGTTTGTCCTGTCTTTGCAACTTTTAATAGTTTTGTTGTGTAAAACTTTTGCTCTTTTTTTTTATGTGGATGCAAAATGAATTTCATAAAATTATTTTGGTGCCAGCATTTTGTAATCCTTAATATGTATTTCCTAAAGTTTCTGTTTTGATCAGGGTTTATTCTAGAAATTGGCCAAAGATGGCCCATTGGCCTCCTTTAAACACTGGGGGACCCTTTTCCAAGGGAGGTTGCTTAGAAAATGATTATCTTAACAAGTGTTTAAACTTAATGGTACTCCTGTTATAAAGTCAGTGTGTAGGCATGAAAAAAACTACAATCGAGACAGTAAAATGGTGTTAAGCTTGAAGTGACTGTAGCAGCTGTTGTATCAATTGAGACAGTAAAATGGTGTTAAGCTTGAAGTAACTGTAGCAGCTGTTGTAAAATGGTGTTAAGCTTGAAGTGACTGTAGCAGCTGTTGTATTAGTGTTTTATGTGCCCATTTGAAGCTCAGTTTTATGGAGAAAGGTTTTTTGAATTGTGGAAATCCTGCAATAGGATAAACCCTGTTGACAAAATCGGTACCAAATTGTTTATCCTCTCAATATATTTCAGTTAAGTTGGGGATATAAACTTTTCTGTGTTGTTGTTTTTTCTGTTGCATGTTTGGATAACATTTCATAACTTTATTTGGTACTTAAATTTTCTAATTCAGGTGCAAGCCTTAAAGATGAATAAAGAAAGTGGGGAGCACAAGCAGAAAATAATACTCTATACTTCTTTGAAAGGAATCAGGATTGTGGATGAGAAGACTCTGGTAAGCAATGTCTAGTTATAGGGGCAGATATTGAAAAGAAGGTATGCTTATACATGCAAACAATGAATTGACAGTGAAATAATGGCTTTCAACTCACTCTATTTCATGGAGAGTAGTGAAACATCTGACCACCAGATCAATCAAGTTTACCCAATTTACTTGCCTGTTGAATCATCATACTTGCTCTAGGCAATTGGGCAAGTGCTTGTGTAAAACACTATTAGATTTTTTTACTTCAGAATGTAGTATCCAAAGTAGGCACCCCTGATTATTCTAGTAGACTTCCTCGACATGTTGCTGGATCCCATTCATGCTTATAGGTGGAAGGACACTATTTTCGTTAAAAGTGAAGAACAGCTCCCCTAAAATTCTGTCAGCTGACTGTCGGCTAACTGTCGGCTAACTGTCAGCCAGCAGTATACCAACAGTTGACCGACAGTTGACCAACAGCAAATTGACACTTAATTTGACAAGTGTAAAGACATCACAGTTACTCGACCCTTACCGTTCTAGTAGAATCAGGCGCATGATGTACCACAAATTAGATCTTGTGATTACAAGATCTGATGATATTGTTTCGAATTTAACAATTGGTTCTCCTTTTGTCATCTCTGATCATGCTGCTGTTCACTTCCAGCTCTCGCTTAATAAGCCGCCGCTCGACAAGAAGGTTATTTCATTCAGAAAGCTTCGATCTATTGATTTTGATAATTTCTGTGCTGATGTTATGAATTCAAGCCTTCCTGACCTTTTTGCCTCGTCATCTTCATCCTTGGATTATTTGATTGATCAATATAACAGAGTCCTTACTTCCATACTCGAGACTCATGCTCCACTGCAAACCAAGATAGTTACTTTGCGTCCCGCTGCACCTTGGTATTCTGAGGAGATAAATAATTTAAAGAGATCCCGTAGAAAACTTGAACGACGCTGGCGAATGACCAAACTTCCTTCTGATCGTAAGTTGTTTATTGAGGGATGTGATGCTGTCAACAA